ACCTTCTACATTTGTTTCTATTTCTTTCTCCGATCCCCGCTGAATGAACACGGGGCTTTTCCTCCTCGCCGGCGCTGATGGACGGGATTGGATCTGCGTGACAGGTGAGTCGGCCCAGCTGCTACCTGTGTCAGACAGCAGCTGTCCGTCTCTCGCTCACACACTCACTCACACTCACAAACAGTCAGTCACGCATCCAGTCACACTCATTCAAAAACATAAATGCATTCACTCCCACACAGCCATTCACCCCAAACAATCAGCTCTGCTCAGATGCTCAGCTAAAAGAGCAACATGCTCTGACACTACAGTTTTTTCTTTCATGAGACTCAACTGAAATGGATCTTATAGTTTGTATTTATTTTCTGTGCATTTTTTTTTTTATCAGAAATTAACCTGTTTATCAGTTTCTAGTTTAGTGAATGATTAAAAACAATCCAGACACAAAAGAATTCATTAAGTATGTATGTATCAAAAACTACTCTATATCAAGACTATTTCTGCAAAATGACGATTGAACTTACAGTATGACTTATTAAGCATTTAAGAGGGTTTTGTTTGGGTCGTCCTTGTATTCCCATCCAGCCATGACAGGATAACACACTCTTTGTCTCAGTATTATGACGGCAATGAATGTACTCTAATGGCCTCTGTCTGCTCCTCTTACACAGCTCCGCTCAGGTACACCTGCCACCAGTCGACCGCCTCTCCATCCGCTCCCATCCCCCTCTCTTTCCTCTGCAGTTGAATAAGGGAGATCAAACGGTGGGCACATTGTTAAAGCCCATGTCACTGAAACACCTGTGCTCTGCATAGTACAGTTAAGTCACCTGGACTAAAACTGTACATAATCATTTGTATTTCTGGAACAAAACTGTAAAAAGTGAAAATGTGCTGTTGTTATCGCAACCCTGGAAAAAGCTGCCATAAGAAATAATAGTCACAAAGTCACACGTGTTTTTGTATCATATTTAATACACCAGGCTTTTATGGCTCTTATACAGGTGCATCTCAATAAATTAGAATGTCGTGGAAAAGTTCATTTATTTCAGTAATTCAACTCAAATTGTGAAACTCGTGTATTAAATAAATTCAGTGCACACAGACTGTAGGATAATATGGAGCTCATATTTAGAGGCCCAAACTGAGCCAAAAAGTAAGATGAAATTCTGATAGCTTCTAATGTAAATCAGTGAGATATATAGTATAGCGGACTAACATTAAATAATTTAAATACCAGTGGTCATTCTATTTCTCCCAATAATATGGCTTAGATTATTTTTAAATGCTTAGTTTGATGATCAAAGCTCTGTAGTCTCCAAACATATAATGCAATGCAATACAATGATGATTGAGAGATGAACAAATAAACGTTCCTCAAAAGCCTGATGATCATATTTGATACTCACTTTATTTATTTTTTTTAAAAAGGATTTCCTGGATAATCAAATAAACCTAAGTTGCTTTAGTCCAGTAAGTGTTCGCCTTGAAATATTACAAACAATATAAAAGTGATTATTATGTGCAAAAATCAGTAAAGCTTTCACAGAAAAAAAGACATGTGAACCACGTCCTGATATTTTTAACATTTTACTAAAAGACCTTTTACTTTATACTAAAAAAGTATAAACTATCAATCAGACGACAGAAGGCACGTATTAGATTGTGTTCAACAGGTTTTTCAGCACATTTTGATCATGTTGATCATTTAGAGCAGTGGTTCCCAACCCTGGTCCTGGAGGCACCCCAACACTGCATGTTTTGCATGTCTCCTTAATCAAACCCACCTGATTCAGATTATCAGCTCATTAGTAGAGACTCCAAGACCTGAAATTGGTGTGTCAGAGAAAGGAGATATGCAAAATGTGCAGTGTTGGGGTGCCTCCAGGACCAGGGTTGGGAACCACTGATTTAGAGGCCTTAAAAAATTGTTTCAAATATTAAATAATTTTATATGGTTAATGAGCTATTTCTATTTGCACTGACCCTTAAAGTAAACATGAAGGATTGTATTAAATGCATCAAAACAGAATGCATCAGGAATTGTTACAAAAGTTACAAAAAAAAAGGTCTTGATCTCAGCCATAAAGAAAAGTCATTTTTTAGGTGGAGTGATTCAATGACACATTACAAAGACAAACATTTTGTAATTTCCACCCTCTGGAATAATTCAAATTGATTCAACAGTTTTTGTTGTCCAGTGCCGTTATATTTAATTCTGCACTTCTGATCAGCGAAGGCTGCATGGTAAATATAAGAAGTGCACTGGTTCAAGAGCTTCTCTGGATAGTGGGTTTGTGGTGACCCATGCATCGAGCACCTGGCCTCTGCATTGCTACCTGAACAGCAGTGCAATTAAGCATTTACCACCTTTGATAAAACACACACACATACACACACACGCACGTGCACACGCTTGAACCGTCCCTGAGCCCTTGCTGCCTCTTTAGTTATGGGATTTAGCAGATCGGCAGTTTGACACCAGATAAAATTCTTAAATTCCTTCTTTTTCTACGTTTGTGTATTGGTGGCATCTTTTAACGTGGGAATGAATACGCTAGACAGCTTTAGTACAGGCTGCCGTGTGACCTCATTATAGGTGTGGAGCCAGATTTTTTTTAAAAAAAGCTTCTTAGGACACTTGCTCTTTTCACATGTTGCATTGTCTGCAACATCAAAAGCTCAATTGAGCAAAGCACCGTTCATCTGCAGCTTATTGCTGCCGGCTCACTTTGATTAGCTCACTTTCAGCCCACAATGGACATATCTTGTTGGAGTGAGACAAAGCTGATGCTTCAAATCCTTCAAAGCAGTGATCTGATGTATGCATCTGCCTCAAAAAACAGTACAGATTGATTCATAGTTGAAAATGTGTTCCTAGTATTATTTTAGTCCTTTTTTTTTTTATTCATTAATGTGCATTAGAAATAGGCCTACTTTTTGGAACATTCTCAAATCATGATGGATTGCATGTTTGAGGTTTCATGAAGCTTTTGTGTGTCCTATTAGACATATTCTGAAATGTTCGTCATTTTCAGTTAGTCTGATAATTATATTTTTAATGAAAATAATATATAATGAATATGTATATGTATATTTAATTAGAAAATGGAAGCATTTCAGTTTTCCATATAGTGTCTCAGACTTTGCCAGTTTGATAGAATTAGAAATATCGAATTTAAATACCTAGTTATATTTCTAGTAAATGTCAAAAATTAATTGCCTCTTTTGTATTCTTCCTTACCGTTTTTGTCTGTTTTTTATTTTATTGTATTGTATTTCTTTGTTTTTGTTTTTTGCACCCCCTTCCCCATCAAAACCTCATTACCCCTCTTGGTTATTTAAAGTGTTTGCTTGACTGACTGACAAATATTAGTATTATTAATATATGCAAAACAGAATCTGTCCGTTTTGCAACAGGAGGCACATATACTGCCACCCGACCCAGAGCACTGATACACTTGGGGGACGGTCGCATCCAGTAAAGCTGAGTTCACAGGGTCCCTTATGCAGCGTTCACTGCTTCCTATACTCTCTTAAAAATAAAGGTTCTTTATTGGTATCTATGGTTTTATGAAGAACCTTTAACATCCATGGAAACTTTGCATTACACGAAAGGTTGTTTTCAGTTGAAAAAGGTTCTTTAGATCATTACAAAAAAAAGGTTCTTTTAAGAACTGTTCTCGGACAGGTTCTTTGGGAACCCAAAATGGTTCTTTCATGGCATCATGGCGAATGTTCACTTAAAGGGGTCATATGATGTTGCTAAACAGAACATTATTTTGTGTATTTGGTGTAATGAAATGTGTTTATGCGGTTTAACATTATTTTCCACATTATTGTTTCTCCTCTATGCCCCGCCTTTCTGAAACGCGTCGATTTTTACAAAGCTCGGTCTGAAAAGCAAGGTGTGCTCTGATTGGCCAGCTATCCAGTGCATTGTGATTGGCCGAATACCTCAATTGTGTGATGGAAATGTTACGCCCCTTACCATATTGTGATGCCTTGTCAGGCCAGAGCGACGAGACAAAAACATTAAAACCCATTATAAATGAGGCGAGGTATATAGTACCCTGCGAAGTCTACTTTTGCAGCACACTTATGGTCGATTACAGAGCTAGTCAAGTGTCTTGTGGTTCATTAATATCCGCTGACGACATTTTGTGCAATGTGAACATCAAAAGAAATGATCCTTATGTCATGTAAGTTTTGTCAGTTTTCAACTTTAAAGGTCTTGTTCTTAGGTGGAGCGTGTAAGAAGTCTTCCCATGACCATGACAATGAATTCCGAAAGCTGCTTGGATCAGTGTTCAATACCTCAAGTCCAAAGCTTAATTACTAGTAGGAAGTAAATGCTGAATCTAGATCAGCAGCTGCGTGCTCCTTCAACTTCATTTACATTGTTTACATCAAATATGCTATGTCGTTTCTTAAATGATTTTACATTAAGTGCATTTTAAATAAACAAAAGGAGTGTAATTTGTGGATTAAAACATGTTTATTTACGGTTGCACTAAAAACGAGTTCAGCCAATTATGTGAAAATAAATTAAATCCATATTCACATTTAAATCGACAAGCGACCGAAATCAACTCGAAACTAGCTTACAATGAGTTGACTTTTAGATGAACGAACCAATCTCTTGTAAACAGTGTAATTGTCACTGGATTTTATCTGAACATAAAAACGTTGACACTATCTGTGGAGACCTCATATGAGCTTTGTTTATTTTTATGTATGCCTATGCCTATTTATGATGCCTAATTAAGAATCCATAGCTCCTCAGGTCAAACTGTACTCAAAGTACAGACTTTAATAGGCCAATGAAGAGCCTAAATTGTTCAGAGAAAAGGCAGGCTGAGAGCGTCAGACTTGAGTCGGTGACTCCGGCTGGCTGTCCTGTTGGTGTGGGTGGCTGTTAGCGTCTCTAGGCATGGCAGCCTGTGTTTGCAGTTGTCCCTAACAGCGCCGACCGACTCCATCCCAAACACCTGTGTTTGCTTTTGCGCTCACTCCCCCAATCTTCTCGGTGCAGGTCACATGATCGGCAGATAGCCCCGGTACCATGGGAATACAAAAGCAGGGGCTTTTAGCACAGTTAATCATTAATGTCAGGCTTGCTTGTGCCCCTCTCTCTTGATGTTGCAGATGTGAATGTTATCTTGCTCATGCATCCAGGTTAGACTTGACTGAGGGTAGCTGCAGGTGAACGTGACTGATGGAAAGCGTTGAACCAGCAGTTGCCAAATGAAGGGGCGTGGCACGACGGTGAAGATGACTGCTGATTGGTTCAGATCTAAAAAGAGAAGCATATTCAACATGATTAGAGCGTAAAATATTTGTAAAGTATATATATCTATAATAATACAATTGAAGGGAGAATGTGTAAATATACTCACACATAGCATGATATTACAAGAATACACATTTTTGGTGACTAAAAATCTGTATTCCAGAAAACACATTGAAATATAATGTTAAAAATATTGCAGCAACCACTGGGTTTGACATGGTAACTGAGAAATTGGAAGCGATAATAGAAGTTAAAGTCATCTGTGCTAACATGGAACACATCCATCTTTAAGGAATTAAGTTGGCTAAACCACAATCCTGTACTGAAAAGATACTGAGATTGTACTTCTGCCCAAACTTGTTATTGGTTATTCCACAGACCCCAACTACCCCCATACAATTCCCTGATGCACATACACTCTTAACATTAAAGGTTCTAAACGGGGGTTTCACAGAAATGCCATAGGAAAATCATTTTGGGATACCCAAAGAACCTTTCAGTGCACGCTTCTTAAAAGAACCATCATTTTAATCATCAAAAGAACCTTTTTCACTTTAAAGTATCTTTTTGTGGAATGGAAAGTTTCCTTTGATGTTAAAGGTACTTCATGGAACCATAGATACCTTTATTTTTAAGAGTGTGGACATATTGTTGGGTTTAACATACATTCAAGACAGGTTTTCATAGGTAACGGAGTTGTAGTATGTCCAAAGTTAATCATTCCTATCAAAAATTTTAGGCAGAGGTTTAAAAAAACCAAGTAAAAGTACTCAGCATAGTTCTACCCTGGCTATATAAATGTAGGTCTGAGGATCAAATTTGTATGTGAGTTACCTGTGCATTGCCATTGTATATACTTTTTATAGTACAATTATTTGCTTTATTATTATTATTGAATTGAAATATGTGCAATCTAAGGAAAAGGCAAACCTTTAACTTAAATTATATGCAGAAACATCACTGAACCCCCAATGTTTAGACATCCTACCAGATTTACACCACAACCTGTGTGTTTGTTCACCCTGGACGCTAATGATAAGAGCTTGGAACATGAGTTCACCACAGAAATCACTAGTTAA